TTCAGAAGTCATTACTGACATAACTTCAATTTGAGCTAAAGCATCACGTCTTTTTATTTCTTCACGAAGTTCTTCAACAATTTCAAGAGTTTCAAGATGATTAACTTCTAATCTTGCAAATTCATTTTTAACAGCATCTAAACCTTCAGCTTTATCTTTATGTAAAGATTCTAATTGTTTAAGTTCAATTTGAAGTTTTTGAATCATTGCCATACTTGAAAGTTCACGTTTTTCAGCACCTTGAATTTCAGCAGAAAGAGATCTTGATTTACGATGAGAACCAGAATTAGGAGGTGATAAAGAATTTGGATCATGATGAGTAGTTTCAGATTGATTAATTGTTGGTGAAGAATCATCAGTATCAATATTAACTTCAAAATGTAATGCTTTAGTATCTTGAATTTGAGATTGAAGTTCATCAATTTCACCAAGGCATGATTGATATTTTTCTTTAAGTTCAGCAAATTCCGAGACAGTTTTTTCATGAGTTTTTTGTAATTCATAAAGTTTAGATTCAAGATTTATTACAATTGAATAATCACTAGCAGTAGGCATAGGAGTATTTGAACTTGGAGGAGTAGAAAAAGGAGTATCAACATCAGATGAAGAAGAAGAAGTTGAAGAAGAACGACGATGTTTACGACGAGGAGCTTTATTAACATCAACTTTAAGTTTTTTAAATTGAGCAATTTCAGTGATAAGATCATCAACTTTTTTCTCCAATTGAGCAATTCTACGATCTCTATCTTCAATTTCAGCCATTAATAAATTTTGTTGTTGTTCATCTTGAGCTTTTTCTCTTTTATATTTTGCATCTAATTTAGCGTAAGCATCTTCTCTTTCCATTAAAGCTTTTTCAAGATGTTGAGCAGTTTCATTCATAATTTCAGCTTTACTTTCACTTCTTGCTAAACGAGTTTCTAATTTTTGAATAATTCCTTCATTATTTTCACCATTAGATCTAAGTTGAGAAATTTTATTTCTAAGATCATTTATAGTATCTTGATTTCTTTTTTGATCATTAGCATGAGAATCAAATTTAGCTTCAAGATCTTTAATATAATTTTCAGTAGTTTCTTCACGTTCATTAAGTTTTAAAATCTTATTTTTAAGATCAGCAATTAATAATTTATTTCTAGAATTTAAATCATCAGCTTCTTCAAGTTTTAATTCTTGATCTTGCATTAATTTTTCAGTAGAACTTAAAGAAGCACGAGCAATTTTTAATTGACTTTCAAGTTCATTAATAGATCTTTCATATTCAGCAATAACTGGAGCCACAGTTTCTTGAAAAGAGGCAGTAGCATGAGATAAAAAGTCATCACCATCATTTTCCAAGATAACATTTAATTGACGAGAAGAAGGAGGAGAAATATCATTATCTTGATAAGAAGATAATTCGGCGGTGATTTTAGCATAATTTTGAGTTAATTCCGAATAAGAACGTTGAAGTTCAGCTAATTGATCTTCAAGGGCTTCAATATCTTTTTCATTTCTTGAAGAATTTATAAAATTATTAAAATTATTAGGAAGAAAAGAAGAAGTGGAAGATCTACGACGATTATTAAGATTATTAAGATTATTAATAGGATCTGAAGGAGTACTTCTACCAGAAGCAGGAGTAATACCAGTAGAAAGTTTTAAATTTTTAATTTCATTTCTTAATTTTATAACTAAATGTTGTAAATGTTCTAAATCATGCCAACCAGCTTCTTCTTGAGTAACGGTAGCAACATTTTTTATATTTCTTGCACGATTAGCGTATTTTAAAGTATTTACTGTTTCAGCTATATTATATTCAGCAGGTGAAACACAAGCAATCATTAAAGTTTGAGCGTTACCACCAAGAGAATCTTGTAATAATCGAGTAAGTTTAGAGTCCCTATAAGGAATATGTGTTGTACTTTTTGCTTTTGTTGGATCACCTAAAGCCGAAATTACATTACCCAAAGCTAAAAGACCCGAGTTAATTGAAATTCCTTCTTTTGCACGATCACCAATAGCGGATGTACGTTTAAGCTAAATATAAGAAATAATAATAATAATAATAAAAATAAAAAAAAATAATAATAAAAATAATAATAAAGATAATAATAATAATAATAATAATTAGTATGTAGATATTTTCAAATTATGATATATAGATATAAAAGATATTTCGCTAACATTTAATTACCCTTTCACTACCAGCCAAATCGACGAAATGAAATTTACTCGTTACAGAAACCCAATCACCATCATCAGATCGTTTACCCATTCTAGAACTAGCTCTTGAAGGGGAAGAAGCGAATCTTGAATCAGATAATTTACTTGGAGTTGATGGACGTGATGAAGGAGTTGGACTTGCTGGACCACCACCGGAAGGAATAAACTTTTGTTGAGAGAGTGTAACAGAAAAAATTGCATGTGAACGCGAAGATTTAGCGTTCATATCCGTCGCACTCACTTGCCGACTTGCCGAACCGCGTGATAGTTGACTGATAAAAAAGATACGTAGTGATTAAAGTGATTAAATAATAAGAATTACTAATAATTATAATTATAATGATAATAATACTAATTATAATTATAATGATAATAATACTAATTATAATTATAATTATAATGATAATAATACTAATTATAATTATAATTATAATTATAATTATAATAATACTAAAAATTATAATAATGATAATAAAACATACCTCATAACTTCTTCAACCGTACTAACTTTAATTTCTTGTAAACCACTCCAAATGATATTTCCTTTAGAATCTTCTCTTATTAAGACTTGAGGTTTACACTCATCATCGCATTCAGCAAGAAGATCAATCAAGTCTTCATTATATATTTCCACAAAAGATACCTTCATAGTGAATTTTCGATTTTTATATTGAGCAGAATTTATGTATGAAAAGAGTGTAGCCATTGACCGCGGGATTATACCTCTTGAATCTGGAGGAGATGATGAACTATCGGCAGTTCCCATGGTGTGAGTTTTACCAGAAGAGGTTTGACCGTAAGCTAATATGGTAACATTAAATCCTATAACGCAACAATAAGTTTTTAAAATGCTCGGTTCAATGAATTGTAATTCAATTAAAAAGATGTCCGTTTTATATAAATCAATTACGTGTATATATAATATATATATATATATATATTTGTATATATTTGTATATATTTGTATATATATGTATATACGTATATATGTATATAAGTATATATGTATGTAGAAACTAAAAATAACCTTTTCATTCAGAAAAGGTATTCAGAAAGACACGTGATTCTACTTTTACACGATCACTATTTTGTATAGCTTTTCCAAACAAATAATAATAATAATAATAATAATAATCATAATAATAATAATGATAACATACCTTCTAAGAATTTATCAACCATACTTTTGATACAACGATCATATATATCTTTTTGGGACGATTCTGGACCAAATACATGATCAAATGTGAAAGTCTGTTTCTTTTCACCTAAAACATTGACTTGATTTGGAGCGAATAAAGTTGTTGATAAAACATTTCTTTGAAATCGTGTAGGTAGATTTACCAAATCTTCAGCCGTTAATGGTCTTATTCGAAGAGCTATAAAATAAAAAAAAAGGTTTAATAATTAATTTATTATAATCATTTATAATCTTTAAAAAAAAATGTCAAGTTCTTTTTTCGTAAGTTTGTGTGACTAACCAACTTGCACCGTTGTGTTTTCGGAAGTCGTAGTATTTGACATTATATTAAGTTTTTTAAATTTTAATTAATAAAGAATTCTTTATTGGGGAAGAAACAAATAACTAAAATACAAGGCCCAGTGTTTTAATTTTTTTTTTTTAAATTAAAAAAATAAAAAGTTTTTTTTTTTTTAAATAATAGAAAAATTTCCTGGGAGCCAGCCCGCATAAGGGTCGGAACAAAAGAAAGAATACTTTCAATTTGTTAATACGTAAAATAGGGATTTTTTTTTTATTTTTTACAAAAATTAGAAAAAATCGGTAAAATTTTTACAAAC